TCTCATGAACAGTAGAATGAAAACTGGTCACCAGAAGTCTGTCGCTTCAACGGAACCCTGGTAATGAGTTTTCGCGACCACAAGTAACCACGGCACATTTAAGCACGTGTACAGGGATGCCAATATCCGGCTTTGGAACTGAGTTGATTCCGTTCGTGTTTTCGTAGAAAGGACACCCTGCGACAGCAGTGTCCAACCTGAAATTATGTCCAAACGATTTACAGAGTGTAGAGGCAAAGCTGTCAGGATTATTCGGTGGGACTATTTCCTCATCCTGTCATTTTGTGTCTTCCTTTCTCTACAGTTTGTGACTTCTTGCGTCGATTCCCTCAGCGCACGTTTTCCTGCTTACTTTTGGTCTAGTTTTTAAAGGCCCTTCCAGCCAGAATTCTTCGGTGAGGCTAATACCTCATCGTGTAATTTTTTGTCTTTCTTTTTCCACATTTTGTGAGTTCTTGCGTCGGTTATCTCAACGCATACTTTTGGTCTAGTTTTTAAGGCCCTTCCAGCCACCTCATTTCAAGCATATGTAGTGTATTTGCGGTGACAAGCATGGATTATCCGTTGCAATCTAAACAGAAAACACTACCCGCAAACTAAATAAGTAGTATGCATCTGTCACACCATTATAGCATTTTGCATGCTGATAGTACGGGCACGACAGCTGTCTGCTAGGATCCGAGAGCATCATTTCGTCCGCAAAGAATCAGGATATCACAAACGTTGTTATTGGTGATGTTTAAATATTAGCAGACCGTGAGATTTCACTGGCTATTGAACAGACGATTGAACAGGCAGCCAATCAAGTCAAAGAAAGGCAAAATGGACGAATCAGGCAGACCTGAACCAAAAGGATTCAAGTTAATCAGACCACGAAACAATCTAAAGCCCCGAAGGACAAATCAGCTTACGCGCTTTCAATCTCTACACGTTGTAGTCACACTGTCTGCCCTTCAGAAACTATGTAAGCGAAGAGATCATCAACTCAACTCACACAATGTGTCATGTCAACATATTTTGTTGACATTAGTCATAAAGCCGACTCAAAAGAACATCTGAGGTAGAGCAAATTCCGTACACATATACACACCATCAACATTGGGGTGCTCGGGAGCGTAAATTGCAGTCTGACAACAATATCTTCATTTTGACAACGAACAATTATTTACTGTGCGCCTCACTACAACTTGTAATGAAGTGGATGGACTCAACAAAACATCTTGGTGAGGCTTAAATGAGTAGTTACTTGACGGAACACAAATCACAGTTGCTAATGAGTTGCTCAAGACCGATTTTGTCGGTTTTGGGTCTTGTCAGATAGGCGCAGTCCCCAAGTGCCCGTCAAATTTGTGTTCTAATTGAAAAATTGGTGAGATACACCCAAATTCAAGTTGAGTTGATGTAGCAAAGAAGACTCGACCTAATTTGTGAATGTGTGTACTTCGGGAAATGAACGCTCTTCTACTACAGTCATAGGTACTGGAGAAAACGATCGTCGAATAGTCGGGAGCACATTCTGATGTACCGGAACTGTGTCAAGTGCCATTCAGTGAGGTCTTGATACAAGTTCGAAAGGTTGGACAAGTAGAAATGCTGAATTGTATTCATATTTCTGGTCAGGTGGAGCACGCATTGAACTACCTCGAGAAAAGTGACTCACTTAGTTACACTGGCAATGTGGTTTGAAGGAGAACTAAGTGGTTGTTACGCTTCTGCGCCCTTTCATTGCACAGATGCCATACCACCTGGTGAAAGCACCTGGGCTGAGCTACTGCCAGCTTGCCGAAGCCTAGACGAGAACCGTCGAGCTACCGGGGTTAGGCTTGAAACCTGGACCTTCCGGTTCAGTGAGTTCGTGCCTTAATCACTGAGCCACCTTGAGCTCAGTTTGAAAAATGAACACTGTCGTCTCATGAAACGTTGGGATGTGACGAAGTAGTGGGATCAGTTCCTCATGAGTGACCAAAGAAGAGGGGCCCTTCAATTGAAGTCTAGTAGGATGTGGTACAGTCTTTGAATGATGTTTTTGCCTCTTTTGTCGAATAGGGAAGAAGGCTAAAGCCGCATTTCCAAGGATGGACTTCGGACAATCGGAACTTGGGCTTGCCTGGGAAAGTGAGATCCTAGAATGGATGTCCTCAGAAGTAGAATATGAAGTGTAAAACCTGATCACCGATTTCGTCAGCCACAACATCTGTATGACAGCGGAACGTCGGTGTTCAAAACAGACACAGAGTTTTCTGTGGAAATGATCGTGGTGATGATCGTCGCTTGCTACAAGATGATGCGACCTCAAAAATGTCGTAGATTATACCGTCACCACGCGAGAAAACCGGTGGAAAAGCTTGTGAACATCCCTATTCAGTCCTGTTTTCTAAGAAGAACAACTTGAGATGTTTAAGAAGTCAAATAAAGAGCATCGGATTCACCCCTGATATGTCATATTTTTACCTAACCTATGGCGTAGAAGTATAGGAACGGTATTTTCCTCAACTTAATTCTCGGTCTGAACCTCCCAAGCTAGCGTTCACGTCAAAACAACCACCAAAGGTGCACAAGGCATATTAACGCCTAAAACCGAGTCAAGAACACTTGTTCAACGCGTCATATAGACAGTGTAATCAGCGACAACCTAGAAGTTCTGACGCCTGCTGGAGGCGCCACTGGCAACCGGCATTCGGCCAATACTTGGTCACAATTGGTGGGTCCAGACTTTCGACCAGTCAGATCTCGGCTTGATGCCGGATCGGAAAGCGTCCCGAAATCTTGGTCAATCTTGTGCGAGATAGAGTTCTCGGCCATCGCAGTGCCTAACTGCGAGCGGTAAAGGGGGATCCGTGTTGACTTCCACCTAACACGAAGGGAGTGAAGTAGACAGCCTTCCTCAAAAGTGAGTGTGAAGTAGATCTGGCCGTCGAAACCTGCTTTCAAGTAATTCATTTGGACTAATGCGCCTGGTGGTTCGCACTGTCAAGAACTTAGCGGATCCCGTCACGAGCGTGAAATCAAAGTAGTCTGACTGCTCAGTTGTATATCGATAATTTTGTTTCAGGGCTGAATCAAGTAGGTACTACTGGCTAGATGTTTTCACCAAACAGAAGAGGGGAGGAGTTGCTAGGTATACTCAGTCGCAAATAAGCTGCCGTTAACTGGAAGTCCAAACGTCTCAGTCGAAAGTGCTGCATAAATGTTGCGTTAAGTTTTGGTTGATAAGATCTCCGGGATCAGGTCAAGGAAGTAGACTGCTTAGCATGCAATTCAGATAGAGGAATTATTGAGCCCGATTTCACGCCAACCGGGTCGCATTCGATCGAAAAAAAAAGCCACTAAATTTTGACGGTTGACCGTTTAAGTTGCAAGAATCCTAAAACGTGATATATGTCAATCCATGGACAAAAATTCAAACCCTGAGAATGATCGATAATAACACAGCATGTGACCAACGAACCCTACTAAGGATATTCTTGTTCAACGGACGGGAGCGTTATATGAGTGGTCATCTTTGTCCTGATCGGACAGGTTTTACTATCGGTTCCCGATAGTGGTCGATTCTGTAAAACAACACAAGGTTTAAACGGGTGGTGAAAACAATACTTTATTTGTCTTTTTGTCAGCAGATGTGTGTCACACAACTGTCACGATAACAACAGGTGTTGTGGAAAAAACTACGATAAAGTGTCAAAGCACCACTTTCAGTGAGACAGCGAGATGTCTTCACAAAAAAATGCGTGTTCCTCGTGAGAGAACTGTCTACTGTGAACGGTGTTGCATGGTTTCTTCTCGAGAGTGACGGAATACCGGTCGCATTCGAATGTTTCAGCGAGCCGTTGGAACGTGAGATGAAATTCTCGGAATTCTCTGAATGTTTAATAGCTGGAATGCATTGATGTGTACTTACTATCTAGGTCAGTAAGGGTGGATGAGTTTTCTAAATCAGGATAAGAAACAGAACAGCGGCACTCATTGAAGGCTCGATTCGCCTTACGTTGTTCCACTCCGTGTTCGGTAATTTCGACCTCTGACAACAGAGCCCACTCCCTACAAGATGCCATCTGCCCCCTGTCTTTGTGTTGGTCCACCTTGGGGGATCACTAACCACGAAACAGTAGAATCCAATTTGACATGTAGGTATATTGAATACGTCCCAACCCGATGGTTGGCAGTAAAGTGGAAAAGGCTGAGATCGTGAAGCTTGGAGAAATGAAGCCTACTAGAAGATGTAGAAGTGGTTCACAAACTTGTC